TCCCAAGGTACTAATTCTTGTGTGGAATGTAACCAGTAAGTGCATCCCCTTAAGCAGAGTCTGTCAGTTTGCTCTTTCTTTTTAGATTTAGGTTTTGGGGGGAAAAAAGGGGGGGCTCTTCTGTCCATAGTCTTGTCCTGAGGGTTTAGTCTTTCATACAAACTTCTAACCTGGATTAGAGGTTTCCAGTTTGACTTCATATGAAAGGCTTCTTGACAGTCAGGGACATGCCATTTAGGTCAAAGCTGGCACATTATCCCCTGTAACCACTGTGTCAGAGAATATGCTTGAGATTGGGCAGAGGGTAGCCCAGATAAGATCTTTTGATGCCACCCCAGATGTCCCTAAGCCCCATCTAAATATTGTTACAGAATCTTTCATCTTTTGTTTCTTAACCCTGTGCTGCACTTCCCTGCTTGGTATTGCCAAGGAGCTAGAACTCCTTCTAATTGCATATAGTAACCTAATTGCTATGAATTTGATGGTGTGGGTTGAGAATGCATGTGATTCCTTTCCTGTTTTGGATACTTTGTGCATTCTGTCTACTTCTCTCCATAGGTCTGCTCCAGCTCAGCCGCCTGCTGAAGGGGCAGAAGGGACTACCCCAGGTGGGGGTCCTCCTGGCCCTCCCCCGAATACAACCAGTAACAGACGACTACAGCAAACCCAGGCACAAGTAGATGAGGTAGGTGGAGAGTTTTTTCCCTGAGAGTTTCTAAATCATAGAAGTTTAGAAACTTTTATTTTTTTCTAGACAGATAGCTAAAGGCTTTGGAAGGCAAGGCATCCATTAGAGCTTCACAGGGCAAACCTGTGATCCCGTTGGTTGTTCTTTCCCCTGTCTCTATGGGGAGCTTAGTGGTTTTGCTTCTGCGCCCCCTGCAGGTGGTGGACCTCATGCGTGAGAATATGGACAAGGTCCTGAAGAGGGACGAGATACTTTCACAGCTGGATGATCGAGCTGATGCCTTGCAGATGGGAGCATCACAGTTTGAGAGCAGTGCTGCCAAGCTAAAGAGGAAGTATTGGTGGAAAAACTGCAAGGTGAATTTTCTTGTCCTTTCCCCCTTGTTTTTCTTGGGCTGCAACTCATAGAAGGCAAGAAAACCCTGAGGTTCTACATTCCTTCCCTTTAGTGGTACAGGGTTTTTGCCTGGCAGAACTCTTCTTGGGAGGAAGTCTTGAAAGCTGCCTTGAGCTGCATTACCCTGAATTGGCCACCAGGGTAGGCCAGAGTATTCAGACCCTGGAGTCATAATACCCTGAGGCCCTTGGAAATGGTTAGTCAGGCTGCTTCCCCCACCCAGCTGCTGCCCCCAAAGGACCTCTGGAAAAATTCTTACCTGGCCCTTCCTCAGACACTCCCAACATTTACACAATGACTTGGGTGGGTGGACATTTAAATACCTGCAGCTTTTAGGAATGAGCGGAACACTTCACAATGAAAAATGAACCAGTTGACTAAAGATCCAAAATCTGCACCTCCATTGCAGTTCCTTTCAAAGCAACAGGAACTAAGGAGAAAGGAGCAAGCCACAAAGGCTCTGATGGTTCTGAGGACCTTCGGCTGTGGAGCAGGGGTTATTGTCTGAGGGGGAGCATGAAGGTTGCGCCCTCCCCAAGAGGCCTGCAGACTCCTGGGTGATGTGTAGTTTCTTGGACTGTCTCAAGGACAGAGGAAGTTTTGTTCCCGTATCTCTAGTCCTACCTCCTTCTTTCCCAAGTCCAAGGACCCATTTTTTGTCAATGTTTCCTCAGATGATGATCATGCTGGGAGCTATCTGTGCCATCATCGTGGTAGTTATTGTAAGTAAGTATCGCTGAGGTTGCTGGTGGGGTGAAGAGGTGGGAAGGTCCTGGAATCTTCTCCCAGCCCTGCCTGTCTGCCTGCCTGCCTGCCTGGGGAGTGGGGCTGCTCTGACTGAGGTATGGAGATCACTGCCGCGGGGTCATCACCTGGTTCGGGAGGGCGGGCTGTCAAAGACAAAAGACTTTCTTGGTGGACAAGGCTTCCCTCTGCAGGATGTGGTGGGATGATGGTCCCTCCTGTTCTGAGGAAGTGGGGCTGTGCTGTTTGTCACTGTCTTGAGTCACAGGGAGACATGGGGATGGGACGCCTACAACTGAAAGACCAGGATGTCTAGTAACTTGATGTAATTTGTCCTCTTGTTTTCTCCTGTCTCTCTCTTTTCCATCTGGAACTTCCTGATTCCTGTGTCCAGTCTACTTTTTTACTTGAGAATGTGCCACCCCTTCCCTGTTCTCCATTGCCATCCAAACTCATGTTCCTCTCCTTGTTTGCTCTCTCAACAAACTTCCCCATCTACCTTCCTCCATCCCAGCCCAGGCTTCTCCATCGGCCATTCCCCCTTTTCTGTTGCTTCATTTGCACTCTGTCCCTCAACACTAGAAATGCTGCTCGTGGTGCAGTCTTGAGTAACTACCTGAAGAGCAACCGCTGGCACCTTCTCTCTATCTGCTTCTTCTATACTAGCAAATTCCTCTAAAGCCAAAAAGAGATGGAGGCTAAGGGAAGGGGTTGGAGCATAGCTGTAGTGACATGTCCAAGAAAATGTCAAGATTAGGGGAGGAAAAGGGTATGGGTGTCCATGGTGTCTCCAGGGAAAGCCAGGCCACTGGCAGGAGGAAGCCATGGACACCTGCAGAAATGGTGGCTCACTCAGGCCTGCCCTGGTAGCTTGGAGCTCTTCTGTGCCAGGCCTGAAGAGAATCCTGGGTGGGCCCAAAGTCCAACTTGGTCCTGGTGCAATACCTTCTTAGATAGTAGAACTTGTTTTTTGGAGTTATTTCTAATCTGTTAGTCCAAGATTTTCTACGTCTTCAGGGATCTTAGAGCCTTTTACGTGGTTCTCCAGAGACCTGGAGAACACATGTTAATTGTGAATATACCAGAATTCTCATTGCCGTCCTAGAAGCAGTCTCAAGCTCATGAGTGGAAGGGTCTGTCTCTTGTCCACATTTTCTGCAGCATTCTGTACTATTCATGAGAACACCAAATACTTTTACATAGCCCAAGTCTGGGACTCTCAGTTATTTTAATTGTTGGCACAGATAAAGAGCAAATGCCTATTAGAGAGAAGCCGTGAGTAGAGGACCTAATATGAAAAGAACAAGCTCAGAGGAAGCCACTTCTTGCCCTCTCGTTAAGGAGGGTCCTGCTCCTCCCTTCCTGTTGATTAAAGAGTTTGAGGGTCCTTGGACTTTCAGGGACTTCCCTCCTCACACCCCGCCTATGTACTTGCCAAAAACAGGGATGAGGCAAGACGTCCTTCTGAGGCCTGGCCGATTCTGAGTTATTTAGAGAGGTCCAGTGTACCCGACTCGGTCTCAGGGTGGGGGGCGGGACGTTCTGTAGACAGTCTGTGCTGTCATGGGCCCTCTCATCTAGAGCCACCTCTCTGTTCTTCTTGCAGTATATGCCCCTTCTGAAAATCCCACCTCAATTCCACTTGCCTCCTTTCCTTTTATCCTCTTTGCATGGTTTGTGGGTACAGACAGTGGAATCTGAGGATGGGAGCTATTCAGGCTGTCTTGGGTGCCACTGCTGGGCTCAGGGTAGTGTATTGAGTGGGTTAGACTCGGTTTGAGGGGAGGCTGGCAGGCTGGGAACGGAAGGGGACACACCTGTGCTCCTGTATTCTGTCGTCTGGTGCACAAGCAGCAGGAGGCCGAGGCCGGGCTGGGCTGGGTCTGGATGCTCACTTTCCATGCAGCAGCATTTCATTGCGCAAAATCATCTCTCCTCTCCCTTTGCCCCTGTTGCCCACGTACCCTTCGTCCCACCCCAGGGTGGGACTGAAGAGCTGGAAGAAAGCAGTCATTGTACCCTCCCAACGATTCCCCTGGAAGGTCTCCACTCTCCTCTGGGCTCCTCCTTGCCTAATGCAGGGGGTCACCGCTGGAGAAGAACCACCACTGTCCTCGATGTGTCCCAAGCCTGGAGCAAATTCACCCTCTTAGCCCACCCATCCATGCCACAGGAATTGATTCCTGGGTTTATTCGAGGCTCACCAGATATAGTTGGCTTTGTCTGTCGGAGATGTTAGCCCTTCTACTTTCTTTCTCATCCCACCCTGTATGCCCTTTCGTGTCTTTGCTGTCCCCCTTCCTTCCTACCACCCATGTGCATGAGCAGTTACGCAACTAAACCCTGGGACTTCGCAGTCAAATGAAGCCGAGCTTCCCACATCCCCTTCAGTTTGCCATGAGATGATGTGGGGTTTCCACTGCGTGTCTGTTGTCACCTCTTTGTCTTTTTTTCCTAACCCTGGTCTCATACTTGTGTACAATAATAACAGTTGTACTTCACCAAAGGCATGTGGCGTATTTGCCAGTTTCATGTATTCTGAACGAAGGCAAAAAAAATACAAATTTCTACCACTACACTGACTTGGTTGTTGTTTGGGTTGGAGGACCTGAGGGGAGGGGGAGGGGAGGGGAGGAGTGCTGTTTATTTCTAGGAGTCTGATGTTGCTTTAGGGTGGAGGGGGGTGCTTATGTGTGTTGGATGGTCTTCTCGAGATTAAAGATCTGTGTGTCGGCAAAGGAAGTGGTCTCCGCTCTCAGCATTCATGTCTGAAGCAGCCCAACTCTTCCAGGTGCTAGTGAGAGGAAGTGACAACAGGAAATTGAGTGGGCATCTCACACTGGCAAACAACTGCAGGTTTCTCAGAGATCTGTCTGCCTTCTTTTCTTGTGCTGAGTTCCATGGGGTTGATTAGGTAGAGTTTAGAAATGAATAAGGAGAAATCTCTCCCTTGCAGCTGAGGGAGTGAGGAGTTTGTAGGTATCCTGAAACACCCAGCACTGTCTAAAGGAGTAGAACCTTAATTACAGCTCCAGGTTACACAGAGCAGCTGGGATGGATCCCTGTGGCTGCCTTGGAGGGCCTTTGGATCATACCTTGAACACCTAGGCTTGGGGACACAACTCTGTTGGGTCCAGCATGGGGAAAGACAAGAAAGGGGAAAAGCATTGCCTCCAAGGACACAAGGGGCTTTTATTTGGACAGAGTTCAGTGTCAGTGTGTGGTGGTCCAACCCTGACCCCTTTGCCCCTGTCTTGCACTTGCTTCTTTCTCAGTTTCTTCCCAGTGTTCTTTTCCACTGCACCTCAAATCTGGCTCCAGTTTGAACCTCCACCCAAACTTCTTGCTGCCCTCCTGCTGCCCTCTCACCTCTTCGCATTTACTCTGTGTAGCCAAGGGACACGATGAAGGAAGGCATAGTCCCGCACATATTCAGAGCCAGTGGCCCCATGATCTGTGCTTTCTTCATGCTTTTCTTGGGGTCTTTTTGGGCTCTGGGCCTTGGCTTAGAGTCCTTCTGGGAGAACGTGACTACTCTTTCTTTTTATTCTGAGGCAGCGGACTGGTTACCAAGAGGGCCTTGCAGTCTTGGGTGACTTTGGGTGAGGTAGCTAGGAGAGAACAAGAGGAAGATTGGTTTCAGCTGGGGTAACCTCAAAAGCTGGGGGTTGTAGTGGGGGGCTGGCTGGAACTTGGATGCTTGGGCTTCATCCCTGGTCTGGGTGGGGAGGTGGTTAGTGGGGGCCGGTCTACGAGTGAGGCGGGTCAGGGGCAGAGCTGAGGGCAGCCGGGCTCCTACCTTTCCATCTCTGAAGCCCCAGGTACAGCAGTGCAAGAAGGAAGAGGCTGCTGGCAAAAAGGATCTTAAAGGCCGTCCTCTGCTCTGTTGGTGAGAAGGGTGGAGGCAGGAATGTGTGTGTGTGTGTGTGAGTTCCTCATCCAGGAACTCACATCAAGTGTTCTGCTCTCTCGCAGGAACTGGGCACACAACAGCATTCTACCTGCTTAAGGCTGTTGGATGCTTGTATGACAATGGAACTAGAATTTTATGAATATCGGGGAAGTGACATGAACTGAAAGAAAACCCTGGTTTTGGGGAAGCTTACTGCTTAGTGAGCCACCAAATAATACCCAGTGCTCCTGAATGTCTGCATCCTAGATATGGATTCTTCCTGTTTAAAAACTTTCAATAACACTCTCTGGCTTCAGGATGAAATTTCAGCTTGAAGGCCCATCAGGATTGGCCACTAATACAGTGGAGGGTTTGAAGCTCTAGGGTAGCCGGGCTGCCTATTTTTCACATTTTACCTTTTACCATTTATTATATAGGTGACTTTGGGCAAACTACCTAACACCTGTCAGCGCCAGGGCACACCCATCAACACAATGGGAGTCATGATCGTACATGAGCTCATACATTTAAGTGCTTTCTATAGTGCTCGATTCATGTAAATGCTCGGTACATGTAGTCACCTCTCAAGCTTTAGGCCCCTTCCCCCTTTTTCCCGCACACCCTTGGCTCTAACTGTGCAGCCCCCCAAATCCTCTTTAGGCTGCTTTGTATTTGGCCTTCACACATGCTGTTTTTTCTGTCTCGGTGTTTCCTTACCCCCTTGAGCTAGCTAACTTGGTTTACATCCCCCTTCCCCTCTTCCCAGGTCACCTTGCCTGCCTAATTGGTCCCTCCAACTGGACTAAACTCAAGGGTAGGATCAGGAATTGTTCAACCTTGATCTCTAGCACATTGCCCGGTACCCTGGCACCTGGGTGTACTGAAGTCTCAGGATGTGTGGTAGCAGCTATGGAGGCTGCTACCTTGGGGAAGAAGAAGCTGGGACTGTGAACAAAGCCTGATGGGAAGCAGCACAAGACCAAAGATGAGCCAGGGGTAGGAGAGCCATGTGCCCAGGATAGAGGTGGAAAGAGAAGGGTAACCCAGTACCTGGTGGGGCAACCCAGACCCTGGCCTCTGTGGGCTTGTCCAGGGAGACGTGGGTGACCTGACAGGTATAAGTGGCACCTGCAGAGCCAGGTTCTGCTCTCAGGGAGGAGGAGATGCTGTAGGTGCCTCCTGGGCTTTCCCGGAGGCTGGAGAAGGAGGCATCAGAGACTGGGATTGGGGCTCCACCCAGCTCCTCTCGGGTCCACGTCACAGTCACATCCAGAGGATAATAGCCCACTATGTTGCAGATGAGGGTGGGTGGCAGAGCTTCATTTGCCAAATACAGTCGTACTTTGGGGGAAGCTGGAAGAAAGAATGAGGAAGATTCTAGAGGGATCAATGGGACAGCACAGGAGCCTGAAGCCTCCTGTTCCTGCTGAGAGTGAGACGGGTTATGGAGGCTGAAGTTTCATCAGTGGAGTGCCAAGGGATAAGTGAGGGGTCCACCCTGGATGCAGGCCATAAAGGGGTACATCTTCTACAGGTAATTGAACAACAATGGCAAAACTAACTAAAGGTCGCCTTGCTTCTTATCACTGCAAGCCAGTGGTTTCAAAGGGTCTCAGTGATGGAGTTCTCATCTGGATCAGAACCACTCCCACTGCCCCCCCTCGATTTGCTGCTGCTCCTTTAGTGTGGGTGATTGGGGCAGCCAGCCAGGGCAGGGCCACCGGAGCCTGGGCTGGGGAGGGTCTCGGTGGACTTCTGGAGTGTGACAGGAGACAGTCTGATGCCGTCCGCACTTACAGGATGGAGGTGGCATTTAGGTTTTGGGGACGTGGCTGCATCTCAGGAGTACCCTTATATTTCGGTTCCACTCTGAACAACATTCCCAGTAAGCATATCCTTTCCCCTCTCTCCCAGCTCAGCGAGTTCTCGCCTCACCTTGGATGTGGAGCTGGATGACTTGTTGAGCTTGATACAGAGAGGTGGTGACCTGGCAAATGTAGGCCCCCTCGTCCTTCAGAGTGAGGCTGGGTAGGTTGAGGGAGGCATCCCCGGCCATGAGGAGCTGCTCAGGCTCCAGGGTAGCGCCCTCTCGCTTGGCCTGCCCCTGCCCTGTGGTCCAGCTGTACACCAGCTGGCCGTTGCCCTTGTGCTGTAGCCGCCACTCCACTCTGATGAGGTCCAAGCCTGGTGCCATGGAGAAGGCGCAGTGCACGGAGGCTGAGGACCCCAGCGGGAAATTCAGGGATGGGGTATGAGTCGACACTTGCAGCTCCACTGTGGTGAGAGAAAGAGGGATGATGGTGGACAGCTTCCGCTTGAGGCCACCCGATCTCTGAGCAGTGGGCATACATCCACCCCTGCCACCTTGCCTGGACAGTGAGGCGAGGTGAGCTCATTTCCCATTAGATGGAACCCCGACATGGGGCTTTGGAAAGGCAGTGTGGCACATGTGGTAATGTTAGCTATTTTGGAGTTGCCCCTGGACGAAAGCTATAGACTTCTCACCAGGAACATACACATGCAAAATTATGGGTTACTGCTGCTCTCGGGCCAGAACCACTGGAGTAGCAGAAAAAATTCTGGACCCCTGGCTCTTTCATGTTATAGCTCTGTGACCTTGGACAGGTCACTTAGTGTTGCCAGGTTCACCTGTTGAAGGCAAGGCTGCTGGGGAGACTAAGGAGTAAGGGTGTAAAAAGCACACAGTCATAGTATTTGCGCCAGCCATGCTGAACCTAAATCTAGTGAGGAAAACAATCAGACAAATCCAAATGGTGGGGGCCTGGGCTCTTCAAAAATGTCAGGGCTATGGCCCTGGCTGGTATAGCTCAGTGGATTGAGCACAGGCCTGCGAACCAGAGGATTGCAGTTCGATTCCCAGTCAGGGCACATGCCTGGGTTGCAGGCCAGTTCCCAGCAGGGGACGCACTGGAGGCAACCATACATTGATGTTTCTCTCCCTCTCTCCTTCCCCCCTAAAGATAGATAGATAAATAAATAAATAAATAAATAAATAAATCTTTAAAAAAAATGTCAGGGCTATGAAAGACTGTTCTGAGGTCTTTCATACAAGACACCTAAATGCAATGCATGATCCTTGTTTGAATCCTGGACTTAAAAAACAAAAAGCAGAAGGCTGTAATGAACATTGCTGGGGCAGTTGGAGAAGTTTGAATTTGGACTTTATATTTAACAATATTAATGTATTAATTTCAAAATATTGATACTTGAGTATGATGCCCAGTAGTGTAATGAACAGTAGGCTGGGGGAGATGGGAGGAGGCTGCCTTGGCAAATACGTTCTTCAATTCTCCATACACTGCACCCCTTACTGTCTGTACCATGGGAGACCACTCCCCACCTTGGTCTGCGGAGGTGATGGTTCCGTGATTATGAAGGAGAATAATCTTGCCTTTGATTGTAAGCCAAATGCTATAAACCACACGCTGTACATGACAGCGTTTTGGGGTGAAGTGTTGGTATTTTTACAACTTTCAGTGAGTTCAGGGTATATGTGTCTATCTATAGAGAATATGGCAGAATGTTAACAATTGGTGGACCTGGCTGAATGCTTCATGGGTGTTAATTATATTACTCTTTCACCTTTTGTAGGTTCAACGTATCCAAAATAAAAAGGGAGTATCGGGTTGTACCAGGGCTCCGGTTTACACTGGACAGACATGAGGCCTTCTCTTTTCTGACGTAGCAGATTTAATTTAGGTTGGACCACAGAAAGGTCAAGTGTTCTGGGGCTTTCTGATGATAGGTGGGTATTTCCCTAGTCTTTGGACTTGGTTGTCTCTTTTTGGAGATAAAATACTGGATTCAGTGAATCTTGGAGAAACCCATCACCATGTTCTCAATTTCCTGTGCCCTCTGCGATGTACTGTGTTGAAGAGGGCAGGAACTGGGTTTTACTAATCACGGGTCATGAACAAATTCTGTATCCCTGTGCTTTGCTCTAGTCAAACACCAGACCAGACTGGAGTTGCACTGGGAGGAGACCGGTGTCTGGCCCGCTAAGACTGCTATGAACGGTGTACATGAGTAAAGCACCACAGGTCTTATTCCTCAGGCAACGCAGTGAGGAGGACATTATCCCCGTTTTGGGTCTTTCGGAAGAAAGGACCGAGGCCGAGATGAGGCCCAGTCAGTCACCCTGAGATGACTGACTGGGATGGAGGTGGGCTTGTTCCCTTCCTCCTATCCTTCCATCTCCGGATACTCAACAAAACAAAACTTTCTGCTGCTTTTCATTTTCTCACCTGCAGTCAGCACAGTCCCCTGGGGGCTCTGGGGTAGGTGCACCGTGGGGTGCAAGACAGCCACATTCTCAGCATCCCTGAGAGTCCTCATCACTATGGAGACACTGGGTCCCCCACCAGACACCTGCATATTGGTGATGAACCAAGCTGCTGTCTCCACAGCGGCCTCTTGTCTGGCCCGGGGAAAGTAGCGGGAGATCTCACAGGTCACCTCCGTCTCGCTGCAGTCAGCGTGGAGCAAGGCCTCTGCATGGGGAATCTGTACCAGGTTCACTGGGCGAGAAGGGCGGCACAGAGGTTGGATCAGATTGAGCCCATGGGAAGCAGATGTAGGTGGGTGTGCTGAGAACTGGGCTGTTCCAATGGAGAGAGCCCAGAGGACTGGGACATGGGGTGGAAGCTCTTACCTGAGGCCTCAAAGGTAACAGGTGGGCTGTCTTTGGCCAGTGTGCTCAGTTGGAAATTGGTGAAGCCTTCCAGGGAGCCGTCATCCAGCACTGGCACCTGTCTCAGCACCAGCAGGGCCCTCACCATGTCCTTTCTGTTGGCAAACCCTCCGTGGTGCTTGCCCTCCTCTACCAAGAAGCAGTCCAAGACCACGTCCACTGCCTGCCATTGCTTTTCTGCTGCAGGGCAAAGACTGGGTTGAAGCCACACCTTCCTGCCCAGAAAGTTGTTTTCTGTGCTTGCTCCCTGCGCCCACCTATGGAGCCATCAAGGGTGAAAACTGTTCTCCAGGGTCCCAGCTATCTCATCTCTTGTTATCCTCCAATCAGCTTTCTGGGAAGCACCTGCCATTCCAGGTACACACTTCTCTGTGTGAATTATTTAAAGTCCTGGATTTGCCTTGCTCAGACAGGTTTATGTTTTTACTTTTATCTCCAACCATGGGATGAGAAACTATCTTTAAGCAAAGGACTTCTCAACAAAGCATATAAGTGAGCAAAATTGCCACTGGGAGAGAAGCAGGACATTTGTACCGTCCCAGGGTGCTGGCGGCCATCTTCTCAATTTTCAAGCACACCCACAGGTACTCGGCTCTACCACAACCTGTGGCCTTCCCCTCTCCCGCCTCCGGGTCACCTTCCTAGTGATTTCCTAGCTGGGGAACCCCTTCCTCTTCTGAAGCTGTCCCCTCTCCTGTAGGTCAGCGGCCCCCACCGCATTTGCTATGAAGGGCCCCCTTCATCTGACCTCGTCCCCATGGTTCTCAGTCTCTCTCCCCAAAGCGGTTCCTTTGTCAGCCACAGAGCCTTTCTCCCATCGGGCTGGCAAGTGATTGGCACCTTTCCCCTCTAGTGCTTCCCCAGCCCACCGTTTCGCTCCTGCCTGCTCCCCACTCACCAGTGTCTGCCGCTCGGGACAGAGCCACGCAGAGCAGCAGGCACCACCCCTTGGTGCCCATGGGGGCTGCTCTGAGGCCCCTCCTCCTGCTGCTCTTCACAGCCGCTCCCCACTGGAGAAGAGGGGTCTTTCCAAATACTCCTTGGTAGCCGGCAGCCTGTGGGTTTCTCTTCTGCCCTCGGCCTACTTTCACTTTCTCTTTGAGGAAGCGGCACTGCTGCCGCCTTTGCCTCTGGGCGAAGCCATTTCTTGCTGGTGCCAGAGTGCTGTTCACTGTTCTCCTTTCCACCCCACCCCCAGAAATCCCCAGGTGATTTCAAGACCTGACTTTACTGCATACACCCTTTTGCTTCCCACCAGCCCCAAGAAAGCAGAGATGCAGGGAAAAGGAGGTGGGGAGAGGAAGGGAGAGACTGAAGCTAGAAGCAGGAACCTCCATAGTCTGGAAGCCTTTTTTGATAATCTGTTAGTACCACACCTCTCCCTGCTCCCCCGCCGGGCACGCCCCAACATAAGTCTGGAGGGGAGAAAGCTCCTCCCTCAGATCCCTGGTCCGAGAGGAGGCTGAGTGGCCCATGTAGTAAGCTTGGAATTTCAGAGAGGCACTGTGCATCAGTTTGTCACTTTATTTTGCAGAGGTTCCAAATACATCACATGGGGCTGTCTAGGCTTAAGTGTGCTTTATAACTGGAACCCAGGAACCGAGGCAAAGCTGGCTGGGCCAGGACACATCCTGCTTCCCACCCTGGTCCTCCCATGGGTCCTCATCACTGCCGGTCTCAAAGGCACTTTCTCAAGTCTGCACACAGGAGAGAGTCCTGATGAGGGCATGCTGCTGAGATTGGGAGTGCCAGGTCTCACTGCTTCTGGATGGTCAGTGGGCTGTGCTGGAAGCTAGGCCTTTGTTGCTGTGGTGACCCCTCCGGGGACTGCTGGCTCAGAGGTAGGAGTCAGGCTCAGGTTTTCGGTAATCCTCTTGGATGGGGATGGCTTCACCTTCCTCCTCCCTGGGACAGCTGTAAGGACAAGGCTCAGCAGGCACCCCCGGATTTTCTCCTTTGTCTGCAGAAAGAGAAGCAGACCAATGTTGGCCAGTGGTCAGGACAGGGTGAAGGGAGAAGAGACTAGAGCAAAGGAGGTAAGCTTGGGGGAGGGCTGTCAGGAGGGCCTCCGCCGAGAGGAAGACTAGGCAGGAATGAGCCAGGATTGGTAAAGACTAGGGAGGCTTCCATGAGGTCCCAGGCCTGGGTGGCAGGGCTGAGAAGGTGGGATGGGGTCAGGGACAGGACTGGAGACCTGTATTTTGTCTCTTACTTAGTCCATATTTTCGTTGTTGATGGAGGAACAGGGCTCCGACCACGGTGAAAACAAGCAACATTCCAGACAGGATCACAAAGATGCGGATGCATTCTGAGCTGCACGGGGACCTCTGGGCTGTGGTTGGCAGGGGCCACACAAGAGTTTTGTGGGAGGACCTACCCTTTGACTCCCCTCAGCCCAGCCCTTCCATCATCCCTGCCTCTCTCCTTTCCCCCTTTTTCTCCTCTCTCCCCCACCATTGCGCCAAGCCCTTTCCTCATCCCCAGACTCTGCTCTTCCTCTTCTTACCTGCTCTCCTAGTTACTGTCTGGCTGGCTTCTCTCTTGGACTCTCCTGTATGCATTCTCTCCTGGGGTGGGGAATGTGGAGGAAACTCACGTGGCCAATGAGTGGAGAGAGCTGGGGCAGGTGGGCTGAAGTCAGCCAGAGTCTGTGCATGCCTGGCTGTCCTGGCCTCCAGCACTTCTGGGAAAACAGAGACTGGGTGAGTCAGGAAAAGACCGGGCTGAAGGCCGAAGAGGCCTGAGAAGCACTGGGTGTGATAGAAAGGCAGAGATAGGCCGACCAGGCAACTCATGGAAGTGGGCACAGAAATGGGGGTGCTGCTTGAGGGTTACCCTTACCCCAAGTGACTGGACTTACTTTTCCTGGAACTTACTTTTGGCATAAGGTAAGTGGGTGGGGTGTGGGTCTGGAGCCTGTGATAGACGAGGGGTCAGCGAGGGGCCTGGAACGGGGTCACAGTCGGTGCACTCCTTGTCCCTGCACTCCTGGCCCTTGGGGCAGGCACACACAGTGTTGGTGGTGAGGGTGCAGTTTCGAATGACATGACCTGGGAACAGAGGAGGCCAGAGGAACACAGACACTCAGGCCTCTGAAACCTGCAAGGTCTACTCACTTAGTCCTCTCTCCGAGCTTCCACCAGGCCCACCCCAACCCTGCAGAGGCAGGCCCTCCCTCACCACCACCCAATATACCAGCACCTCTGCCATTAGTAGTATTGTTATTAAGGAAAAAACTTGCACCATTTAGAAAATTCATGGTTGAGAAGTAGACACCATGAAAAGTAGAAACAACTTACATGATTTTTCTCTTACTCACTGAGATTTCTACCATTGAATTCTAGTAGAGAGAGGTAGACTCGTCACAAGTGTAAAGTTTGAGAAATTGGTACCAATTGGGCTCAGGTGTAACCAGTGCCAGGTCAAATGGAAGGTACGGAACCAGTAGTGTTATCCCTTTCCAAGAATAGCCACTAGCCTGATTGCCTAGCATCGCAAGTTCACTTTGCCTGTTTTCTTTTGTAATATATACTTGGAATCATGAACATGTACCCCTTTTCATCTGGCTGCTTTTACTCAACTCTTTGAGACTAACCCATATTAGTGAGTGTAAATACAGGTCACTCATTCTCATTACTGTGTAGTGTGAATGTTGTGTGAATATACCACATTTATTCCTTCTCTGTTCTACTGCATTTAAATTTTTTTTATTTTAAAGAGGGGGGAAGAGAAGGAGAAAGAGAGGGAGAGACATCAGTGTGAGACAGAAACGTCGATTGGTTGCCTCTCCTACCTGCACCAAATGGGGACTTAACCCACAACCCAGGCATGTGTCCTGACTGGGAATTGAACTGCTGATTTTTTCTTTACAGGGTGATACCCAACCAACTGAGTCACACTGGTCAGGGCTCTTCTATTCTACTGTTAATGTGCATTTGGGTAGTTTCCATTTTTTTAGCAATTAGAAATAGTGTTTCTATGGTCCCTGATAGGTTTTTTTCAACTTTACTAGAGAATAACTTGATTACTGACATCCATTGCCTTTAAGTGTACATTTTATTCAAGTGTAGAGGTCAGGTGCTGGGTAGCTCAGTTATACCGTGGGTGGGGGGTATCAGGGTGCTAGAGTGGGATGGGCTCACAGATGGTCGGGGTTGAGAAGAGGAAGGTGATTCCAGAGGAGACAACGACGCTTGGATGTGGGCCAGGCTTGAGCGGGAGCCTGGTGGGACCTTAGAGCAGCACACTCATGGGGACCCGGGGAAAGGAGCCCTGACAGGTGCTGAAAGGGAGGGGTGCTGAAAGGGAGGTCGGAGGGTGCCAAAGACTGCCACTAACTCTAACAATCTGCCTTAGTGTTTGCCTTTAATCAGGAAAGAGAGAGGGACCCAAATTCCTTCTTGTCATCCTTATGCCCCCTGGCCTCTTCTTTCTGAATTCTGACTCATTGTCACTAGAATTTGGTTTCCTGTGGCTGGCCAGGAATGGTGAGCCCCCCTGGACGAGGATCTGCAAGGGAATAACAGGAACAGGGCAGGGGGTGGTGGTGGAGAGAGGAAGAGGCAGGCAAAAGAGCAGAGGACTGAGAAGGGGGTGATCACGAGGGTGTCCACCAAAGGGAGAGGAATAGCTAAAGAAGGGGCTGGGATTGGGTAAAAATTGATGAAGTGCCATTGTTTCCAATGATGAGTGTCCAGAGACCTGAGAGTTCTTTTTACCATGTATAACCTGTGCACAAAATTCCAGCCTGATATCTGGTACGTCTCCATCTTACAGATGGGAATACTGAGGCGGAAGAGGATCAAACTCATTCAGCCTCCTCCCAGTCCAACTGCTCAGCCCTGCAGCCAGGTGCTGCCTGAGTGCTCTGGGGAACCTGTGGGCCGTGTCTCACAGAGAAGGGTCATGGATCGGGCTGCTTGGAACACACTGGGGGGGGGGGTATAGACTGGCTCAGTACCGGGAGAAGTCTTTCTGGTGGAACCTGCAGAGTGAGTGGGGCAGGTTTCGAAAAAAATTTTTTTTTCCAACCCTGCTGGGGTTGCTGTCAAGAAGGGGAAAACATCTGTTAACTATCATTTTTAAGTTAAGTAGACTGAAGAATACTTCTTGTATATTTAAGATGTTGTGGTTTGATCTGCAATGCTAAATCCTTTTTTGCTTAGTTAGTTTTTTAAAGCATACAGTACTAGAAGCCTAGTGAGACCAAACATTTTACAGCCAAGGAGTGAAGTAGTTCTGCTAAGTAGTCCTCAGGTGTGTCCTGCTGCGGGACGTTTGGTCGAAGGGTCCGCTTTAAAATCTACTCTGTACACTGGCACATCGTTTCTGAAATTCTAGCTACAATGGGGAACTAACAAAAGGATTCATGACACAGCCCAGATTTTACACTTCTTTTAAAAAATGAAATTACAAAATAAGAAAAACACAAGCCACATGCACATGCATTTTCCTCAGTCGATTTTTGTGCAAGTAAAGGTGGTTATCCATTGACTAGTATATCCCTAGAAAGATGTATTCAAAGTTCCAAACAAATGTCCACTGCAAACCCAGCCAGTTCAAATGTGTGTGTGTGTGTGTGTGTGTATCTGTGTGTCTGTGTGTGTGTATGTGTGTAGGGGACGGGTTGTTGCTTGGCTGAAATCTGGGATCCTAAAGCTACTTCCCCCTTTCTATCGCCTTCATGCCAGCCCTGGACTCGTTCTCAGCAGTCCATCAGATTTTGCTCACCCCTTCCAGGACACTAGAGTTCACCCCACCATGTCAACATACCCGCTCCCAGGGCACTCCATTTCCCAGCATTGGCTCCGCTCGTAGCCTTGAGGCAACCGACGCTCTGACTCCCCCCCACTTAGCTCCTCTGCACCCAGCTCTGCCACCTGGCTCCCCAGGAGCTTTCCCATCTCACCAGAGTTACAGTGCCGACAATTTTCACAGTGGGGCCGGGAGCTGTGGTCTGGTGAGTAGGAGATCCCTGGCACACACGGACGACACTGAGCAGCCTTTCCGTTCCCCTCACAGTGCTTCTCGAGGAACATCCCTGTGAGCAGAGGTCCAAGGTCAAGGCTGAAGGGAGGCTGCTTTTCGCTCTCTGCAAAAGCGGTGCCTCTGGCACTGCAGGATTCCTCTCCTTGTGGAGCTAAGACTTCCCCCCAAACCCAGTCCTCTCCCGCAGTCAGCGGACCCCTGGCAAGGCCTCCTCTCTTACCTGGCTCACACATCTGGCAACACCATTTTCCCTGAGCCCAGTAGTGCTTCTTCGGGCAGCCCTGAGAGGCTAGGGTAGCAGAGAGCCCCACCAGAGTCACCAGAACCCACAGCCAGCAGGAAGGCAGCCAGGCCATGGCTCCTGCCCAGGGAGCTCTTTCCGCCACTGACTGCTGGCCTCGGTGCTGGGTGCTGTTTCCTCCTCTTTCACCCGCTGGGCAGCAGCTACAGGTGCTGTTGCTGTTGATGTTGCTGTGCTTTAGGTGGCAAGCTAACCTTTGATGGCAGCTGAAGCTCTACTGTGGCTCTTTTTTTTTTTTTTTATAGCAGCAACCTCTTACTCCCCCACTCTTTCCGCATGCTGGGTGCTGGGTGCTGGGTGCTGGGGTGAGTTGTTAGAGGCCAACGCTGTCAGATGACCTGCTGCTCTTTGAAGTCGGCCCCTCCAACACGCAGCTTCTCTGTCGCTGTCTCTCTGGTGCTCATGAAGAATTTAACTCTCTGTGCCTGCCTCTTTTATAAAAGGCATAAGAGGTGGTCATCCACCTCTCCTGTTCATGCACTTGTACGCAAGATGCCCACACTACCGCCCTGTTCACAGTGTCTAAGTTCATTGGTGTGTCCCCTCTTTCAGCCACCACAGAAATAAGCTTCTTATTTCACAGGGACAAGCAGTTTAGAGAAGGAAGGGAAACCAGAACTGACTGCCTGCAACAGGGTCAGGTTTTATTTTTTTTATCTTCATCAGAGAACTTTTTTTTTTATTGCTTGTAGAGAGAGAGGACGGGAGAGAGAGAAACATCAATGCAAGAGAGAAGCATCCATTGGTTGCCTCCGGTGCTCACCCAGACCAGGGATCATAGGCTCAAAGTCCTGGGATCATATGCGTCCAAACCGGGGATTGAACCCGCAACCTAGGTATGTGCTCTGACTGGGAACTGAGCCCACAACCCTTCGGTTATGGGATGATGCTCCAACCAACTGGACCATACCGGCCAGGGCCAGGGTCTGGTTTTAGAATTTTTCAGATTTGGGGAAGAAACTAGCAGCACAAGACACTTCATAGGGCTGGGGTAGCAGGCATAGTCAAGCACAACATCTCTGCAGCAAAACTATTGAATATTTCAACTACGTGGAGTGAACAATGACTATAACTAGCCTTGCTTTGCGTCAGCTGACGCCTGGTTTTACAGCCAAAAGAGCTTGCTATGAGTGTTAGAATGGTCGACAAGGGACTTAAACTTGTGGCACGCTCTGTGCTAGGAGATCACATATGGTCTCATTTAGTCTCCCTGCCAGTCAGTGATACAGGTATTACCCTCTGCCCATCTGTCCTTCCCTCCTCACCCCACTGTCACCTTTATTTTCCCCTTCCTGCCTCTGGCTGTGTCAGTCACTGATGTCCTGAAGCCCCCAGGGCATCTCCCCTATAAGACTTGGGCACTGGGATTAAAGGTCAATGCCAGTGGGTCATCTCTTCCCTGTTTCTATTCTTTTATTTTATTTTATTTTTTATGCTTACCCAGGGCCATGCTTATTGATTTTAGAGAGAGAGAGAGAGAGAGAAACATCAGTGTGAGAGAGAAACATTGATCAGTCGCCTCTCATATGTGCCGCAACCAGGGACCAAACCCACAACGCAGGCATGTGCCCTCATCAGGAATTGAACTGGGGACCTTTCTGTCCACGGGCCAACACTCCAACCAACTGAGCCACACTGACCAGGGCTCACTTCTTCCCTATTTCTGTGGTTTCGAGAAGAGTGGAAATAACTGGACTTTCCCCTCTTTGAGTCCCGGAACACATGGGTCAGATGGCCTGCCCGCCCCTTTCCCTGAGGATTGAGGTGTGAGGTGGCTTACTTCTCTGGGCTGTTTTTCGTTCAGGGGTTTTGCAGTTGTTTCCACAGGGCTCATAAAATGTCACACCCTGTGATCTCACATGTCAGATCTGTTCTCTATCTCACTCTTCAGTTTCCTTTCTCTTCATTTTTTCCACCCTTCTGCCTTAACCCGACCCCCTCTAGTCTCCAGGTGGGTCCTCTCAAGTGGAAGCCACACATGGGTGTGATTTGAATATTAGTTAAGCAAAACCATCCTTTTCACTGTTGGTCAGGGCGCCCGAGTTCCCACCTCAGAGTGTTAACTTTGGGATTTGAGCATCTTGCTGTTGCTGCCCCATTCCCAGGTCATGGTCAGTATCTTCACTCTTAATCTTAAACAATGTTAGGGATTTTTTTTTTAAGATTTTATTTATTTATTTATTTATTTATTTATTTATTTATTTATCTTTAGAAGGGAAGGGAAGGAGAGAGGGAGAGAAACATCAATGTGTTGTTGCCTTTCGTGGGTCCCCTGCTGGGAACTGACCTGCAGGGAACCAGCCTGCAACCCAGGCATGTGCTCTGACTGGGAATCGAACCGCGATTGTCTGCTTCGCAGGCCTGCACTCAATCCACTGAGCTACACCAACCAGGGCTGGGAGTTAGGGATTTTTAAGGAGAAACTTGCTGAAGCAGGAATTGGAGGACACAGAGAACTAAACCTTGACTAGACCCTGAGCTGCTCATCCACCTGAGGCCTGTGTCCTCTGTGCCGAGGCCCATGTCCCCTCTTCTACTCACCACTCATCCATGGCTGGTTCTCCCTCTGATCAAGGGGAGGAAAGCCAGGTTCCTGGACTTTACTGTTCTCCCGCTTTCTGTGCTGTTTGCGATACTTGTGATGAGTATCGGCTTACTGGACAGTGCCTTCCTCTTGTCTATAGGCCCTGTGAGAGCAACCTGTTGACCTCTCTCAGAATCTTCCATCACCTCTTTCTCTTTGAGGCTCAGCTTCTCCCCATACTTGTCTGGCACAGATATGAGGTGTTTTCACAACAGCTCCCTCCTTTTCTTGCATCTCCAGAGACAGGCCCACAGAAGCTTCTCTTTTGACGACTTCCATTACTTTTGACAGGCCCTGACCAACCCTGAGTCTGGAGCAGTGACTATAGCCTGAATGTCAGCTGGGGTCACCTGGCTCCTTAATACCTGCATAAGATACTCATTTTCCAATGAGGGCAGGGCCTGGACAGTTTGGGGGAGATGGGGCTGTTGACTGACACAAATCCCAATGGGTCCAGTGTTATGTAGCCTCTAGTTCTGCTTCCTCTTTCAGCTGAAGTCTTGTTTTTCCTTCTCTGCTCCTGGCTGAGGAGGAGGCCCCACATTTTGGACACAGGGTTGGGTTTTCTTGAATTTTCCTCCAAACCAACTGTAAACAGAAGGCTGTTAAGTATGGCAAAATTTTTACTGAAGCTTTATATATCATAAGAATACAACTTAAAATTGCATTTTGCATATTCTTGTTCTTTTAAAAAATTTTATTGTTCAATTACAATTGTCCCCATTTTCTCCCCATTACTCTTCCCTGCCCTACCCACCCCCACCTCCCACATTCAATGCTGTCTCCCCACCCTGCATTGTCTTTGTCCATGGGTCCTTTATACATGTTCCTTGACTTGATTCTTCCCCTTCTTCTCCCCTCCCCCCTCCCCTCTGGCCACTGTCAGTGTTTTCTTTATTTCTGTGTCTCTGGTTCTATTTTGTTAGCTTATTTTATTGATTAGGCTTCACTTATAAGTGAGATCATATGGTATTTTTCTTTCACTGCCTTATTTCACTTAGCATAATGCTCTTCAGTTCCATCCGTGCTGTCATGAAGATTAGGAGCTCCTTTTTTCCTGCTGTGTAGTATTCCATTATGTAAATATACCACATATTTACTGATTTTTTTGATCCACTCATTTACTGGTTGGCACTTAGGCTGTTTCTAACACTTGGCTATTGTAAATAATGCTGCTATGAACATTGCAGGGCGTAGGTTCTTTTGAATTGGTATTTAAGGATTCTTAGGGTATAATCCCAGCAGTGGAATTGCCAGGTCAAAAGGAAGTTTCATTTTTAGTTTTTTGAGGAAATTCTGTACTGTTTTCCACAGTGGCTGCACTAGTCTGCACTCCCACCAACAGTGAACTAGGGTTCCCTTTTCTCCACAACCTCGCCAGTACTTGTTGTTTGTTGATTTATTTATGATGGCCATTCTGACCAGTGCAAAGTGGTATCTCATTGTGGTTTTAATGTGCATCTCTCTGATGGCTAATGATGCTGAGCATCCTTTCATATGTCTCTGGGGCTTCTGTATGTCATCCTTGGAGAAGTGTCTGTTCAGGTCCTCTGACTATTTTTTAATTGGGTTGTTTGTCTTCTTGGAGTGGTGTTGTGTGAGTTCTTTATATATTTTGGAGATCAAACCCTTGTCTGAGGTATCATTAGCAAATGTATTTTCCCATATGGTTGGTCCCCTTTTCATTTTGCTGATGTTTTCTTTAGCCATGCAGAAACTTTTTAATTTGATGTTGTCCCACTTGTTTATTCTTTCTTTTATATTCCTTGCTTTAGGGGAAATATCAGTGAAAATATTGCTGTGTGGGGTATCTGAGATTTTCCTGCTTTTGTTCTTCTTTAGGACTTTTATGGTGTCACAACTTATATTTAAATCTTTTATCCATCTGAGGTTTATTTTTGTGTATGGTATGAGTTGGTGGTAGAGTTTCATTTTTTTGCCTGTAGCTATCCAGATCTAACACCATATGTTTAACAGTCTCTTTTTACTCCATTTTATGCTCCTGCCCCCTCTGTTGAATATTAATTGACCATAGAGACATGGGTTTATTTCTGGGCTCTCTATTCTGTTCCATTTGATTTATGAGTCTGTTCTTATGTCAGTACCAGACTGTTTTGATTATAGTGGCCTTGTGATACAGTTTGATGTCAGGTATTGTGATCCCTCCCATTTTGTTCTTTCTCAAAACTGCTGAGGCTGTTTGGGGTCATTTATGGTTCCATATAAATTTTTGAAATGTTTGTTCTGTATCTGTGAAATATGTCATTGATATTTTAATAAGGATTTTGTTGAATCTATAAACTGCTTTGGGTAGTGTGGACATTTTGATGTTAATTCTTCCAATCCATGAACATGATGTATGCTTCCATTTAAGTTGTCTTCCTTAGTTTCTTTCTTCAGTGTTGTGTAGTTTTCTAAGTACAGGTCTTTTACCTCCTTGATTAGGTTTCTTCCTAGGTACTTTATTTTACTTGTTGCTATAGCAAATGGTTCCCCCCCCCCCAATTTCTGTTTCTCATATTTCATTGTTGGTGTACAAAAATGCCTTCTATTTCTGAATATTGACTTTGGACCCTACCATTTTCCTAAATTCACTTATTAGATCTGATAGTTTTTTGGTGGAGTCATAGGGTTTTCTAGGTATACTATCATGTCATCTTCAAACAGTGGCAGTTTTACTTCCTCCTTTCCAATTTGGATGCCTTTTATTTCTTTTTCTTGTCGATTGCTGTGGCTAGTACTTCCAATACTATGTTGAATAGAACTGGTGAATGCGGACACTCTTGTCTTGTTCTTGATCTTAGTGGGAAAGCATTTAGTTTTTGCTGATTGAGTATGATGTTGGCTGTAGGTTTCTTGTATATGTCCTTTATATGTTGAGGCATGCTCCCTCTACTCCCATTTTGCTGAGTGTTTTTATCATAAATGAGTGCTGTACCTTATCAAATGCTTTTTATGCATCTATTGATATGATCATGTGATTT